AGGGGGCTCTGCTCAGTAGACTGAATATCTAAATCATTGTGCATTAAAGGGGAGGGATTGGGGAAAAATTCAGCCTTCTAAAAGCCTTTTCAATTTTCTGTGAACTACATAGTACACCACAACATTTTGTTTTCATTTGTATGTTTATTCTGTTGTACTTGTTATCTAAGAGATCTGATGTCTATGGCTATTTACCTGAAGTTGATTTTCTGTCGCCGAAAAATGGGAACATCATCTTCACTCTTAACTTCTACATATCCAGTTGATATCTGTTGTTTAAGCATGGAGATACCAAACATGATGAATACCATTTAAAGTTTATGTCCAAAACGAAATTTATGATAACCTGAATTTCTTATGTCCTATAAAGGACATCAGTGACACACTTTGCTGCACCTTGTACCACATTTCAACATCATCTGTGATATATTACTGAAAAGATGTACGGCAACATGAAATCTATTTGTTGAGCAGACACCTATGGTACACAGTAATTTAATATTATATTAGCTAAATTAATTGGGCGCATTTAGATTGATTCTTACTCATGATCTATTGGAGGACAGACCCCATTTTTATGTCATCTGAAGTCTAATACTGAATTGGTGCAGGGCAACATGGAATCTATCAGTGCTTTGAAAATTTAATAGAGAGCAACTAACTTCAACGCTGTTAACTACCACTAAAGTTCAGATCTGCATGAATCAAAACTTGGTTCGAAATACCCATAAATGTGTGTTTATCTTACTTCTCCTGACACCTGAAATAAGAAAAAATTGTAAATTTGCTTACAGGTTCCGTAACGTCTGGTCCTAGAAACGGATTCAAGTTTTCTCCCGCTGAAGCTTGCATGTACTGATCGAGAATGGACGCCATCTTGGCGAAGGTTCCATACTACATCTACCGGGGAGGGGAGATACAGGAATGTTTTGTTTTGTTTTGTTTTTTTTTTTTTCTCCTACTTAAAAAAATTTTCTTATGGCTTTGAGTCGTGTTCAGATACCTACTGAGTGATAGCGTTTAATTCCAATAAAAAATTTCAACCTGAACTTAAGTTTTTCTCATTTTATTGTTTTTTTTTTTCGCTTTTTTCAGTAGTGTGAGGTACAATCATTGAGCTCCTACTACCTTAGTTAGGAAAAGTTTGTCACCTCATGCACCCGATCCCGAAACCGAGGCTTTCAATGTAAACAAGATGGCAACCTTTCATGGTTCGGGCTTCGCCAAGGATCTGTTAAGCAGTCTTAGTGCTGAAGTTCTTTATATTATTCTGTCATATCTTCCAGCAAAGTCTTTGTTAAATGTTAGCGAATGCAATCGCCGTTTACGGGATTTATGTCAGAACTGTAACTCGCTTTGGAAGCATCTTTGCAAGGTTCGTGCCTAAATCCTAAAAAAAATTTCATGTCATCTGCATGCATGTTTAGTTCCGTTTTGCGAGACAATAAGTTTTTTTTAAAATTTTGTACGTATATGAGAGTAAAAGCATAAGTTTTTGCCTTCAATTTCTTTTAAGAAGGATTGTTTCTTCATGCTAAGGAGGAAACTTGTGTATGGGCATGTTATTTCAGGATTACAATCGGCACAAAATAAGCCAGTGGAATATGAAGCACTCACGTGCCTCCTGTAGAGAGTTTTTTTTTTTAACTAGTCGTTTCTGGAAGGAATTTTGTCGAATTTTTGCCGAAATTTGTAGCAATTGAACTTCTTAACTGCTCCCTCTCTCAATTTTTGCGAGTGTCTTTGTTTATTTCTCGAGTGGGATCTTTAACTTTGATGTTGTTATTGTTTTTCCTGGTTAGTGATCTGTTTATTTTAATCAGTTTCACCCAGAGTCTAAGCTTAGGTCTACTGTAGTGAATAGAGTCCTCAGGCTTGACAGAACGATTCGATGAAATAGAACTGAAAAATTATAGCCAAGGGGAAACCTATTTATAAAATATGACGCTTTTGATGACTATTTGCGTAATATTTTGAATATGTTAAACTGGTCTCGATCTGACACCATATTGTTCGAGCTTTTTACATGCAATCTTTTTAAGTTGCTTACCATTCGAAAACGTTAATATATGAAGTAGAATGCAAGAAAGAAAATCATGATAGTTTTCATATTCGTAAGAGAGGGTGAAAGAAAATACAACAGAGGGTAAATTTGATTAGCAACGTGATTTCATTTCTGTCGTATTGTGTTGTGTAATCAGAAGAAAAATATGTGAGTGTGAAGATTTGAAATGACAAGCTAACTACTGGACATATCATGTGGTTTCCCTGGGAATTTACCACTACCCATGTTTACTCCTTGTTGGAGAGAAACTTTGTGAGAGAATGTTTTTGGCAGGATACAGGAAAAAGATTAAATTGTTCAGGATTTATGGGGGCTTCTTTGGAAAGTCACGTGTGCTGGGCATGACACCTTATTGATTTTGAAACCACTGCATGTAGAAAGTGTGGGATATCCTGCTTATGTTTGAAATAAGAATACTTTGGTTTTCTGAGGAATTTTTCAGGCTATTACATATTAATTGCATTATTCAGGGTTTATATTAGAAAATGTAATGGTTTTATGCTCTGAACTGAGTAGGGGGCTGAATCAAATTACGGCTACATTTAACCCTTTACACTCTAAGATCAGAATTCATATTCTTCATACTGTTCTCTATACATATCCAAAGGTTGCTGACAAGGAGAATTTGTTTAACAATCAAATGCTTCTTTAGTGGGTGATCATTTTCTTTATTCACATGACCTTAAAGTTGGATTCAGGGGTGATATTTGTAAGGAGAAATTAGATCCTTACCACTCTTAGGGGTCAAAGGATTCAAATAACATGCTCCCCTGTAAAGATTTGAAACTCTCTGACAATCCAGGACACTTGAGTGATAATTTTAGCCAGACACTTATGTTAAAATCAGTTTTAAAATATTTATGTCTTTGATCTCACTTCATAAAACGGTCTGACAACTTGCTGGTGTCTGCTGCCTTCCAGCCCCTGTTGAAAACCATGATTGTTATTCAGGTTTGGCAGAATTGTTTGATCATGCACCGACCTAGAAGCCTTTGGAAAGTGATTAAAAGTGTCTTGCTCAAAGAACATAACACATTACTCTTAGTGCAAACCAGATCATTCTGATCACAACTCCAGAGGGCTTGATGTGAGGTTACTGAGTAAATCAATTTATGTAATAAATGTTTCTTTCAGATTGACTTTGATGCTGACTTGACTGTGAAAGGCTCTTTTCCGTCCTTCTTCATCTTGTATCAGCTGCTTTACAAATCCCGCATTATCCTTGAGGACACAGATTATAGCACATATAGCGGTTATTTACCAGATTGGTTGTATTATTGGAGTGCACTAAGTACCAAGCCCCCCCTCCCTGGCTTTTACAGCTTACCAGCAGGAAGGACAAAGAAAACTTGGGGTAGGAATCATGATGTCAGTAATTCTGTGGTATGGGAGGAAGGGAGGGGGGGGGGGGGAAGGGGAGAGGGTTGAATGTATAATTTACATAATTTGCACAAAGGTTTGCAAGGAAGGCACAGGACAATACAACTGAATAGTTCCCAGTCCTTTGCAATCTCTCAAAGCAACGTAAGACAACCTTGCTGCCTACTACTCTGTACTTTCAAACTTATTGACAGCCCTTTTTGACATCACCTGCTAACCAACTGACAACTCAGAGGTTCAGGAGAGGGGGCTTAAAGTTTATGGTTCATATTGTCAAAGGCTACAAAGTCTAGCCATTTGCACATATCACTTGCTAAGGCAGCTTTTGATTTGTATTCTGTTATTAACCCCTGCTATTACCCCCTGTTATTACCCCCTTGAAAATGTTTCAAATTTGGTTAATGATGGATTGTCTTTCGATTTTTGGCACAAAAATTGCTTTATAAAGATCTACTCATTGATCTGGGAACCAAGCCCTAACTGTCCCAAACTATGGTCTGGTGCTATCCTTTTGGAAGTAAATTTAGTATTTCTTGTAACTGTTATTGTATAATTTGAATTCATAATTTTCCACAAGGTCTTACAGAAGAGGACTTGACCAACTACCAGATCAAATGTAACAAATCTTGTGCGGTAAGAATAGAGCGGTATTACACTTGGACAGATGGGGTAGAAGCAGCACTCTGTAAACACAAGAGTAAACAACGATTCCATGAGGTGGCTCTGAAGCGGTGCATGCGAAGTCAAAAACAAATTCACAAGACCTTTCCAAAGGCCTCATGTTCTCAAAGAAAAAGAGCTTTTAACAAATTCCAGAATGAGCATCGCAGCCAAAGAAACATTCTGTCCAAGCAAAAGGAAGGTGCAAGTGAATACATGAGTCTACAGTCTCCCCACAAGATTGGCCAAGATTATATTGATGGTGAGTTTGCACCTCGCTCTGGAGAGTAAAGAAAGCTCTCTATGGGTGCAAAAAGTGTACATTGTAATTATGTGAGGAATAGTTACTTATAGTTGAAAGGTAATTATCAACTTGAATTCGAGAATGGCACTAATAAACCATCTCAGTAAAATTTGGAATGCTGAGCTCTGAGTTATATCATTTTTAATCCTTGAACTCCTTAGATAAAATTGTTATTTCCCCTCAAGGCGCTACACATTTCCTTTCCAATTTACCCACTGGTAAGCGTGTAGCAATTTTCTTAAATTTACTTTTGACAAATGTCTCTCTTCAGAGGTTTAGAATCAGGATGCATTGCAAACAAAATTTCTGAAATTCTTTTATTCCTTTTTTTTTTTTTCGTTATCGCAGGATATCTTCACAAGAGCGGCATCAAACAACTTGAAAGCTATGTTGAATTTGCTAAACGCCTTGAACAAGAAGTTGACGTAGCAGAGCTGTCTAAAGACATTCCAGTGTGTGTTCTTCTCGTTTATGATAAAATGTCTTCCTTAGCGCAGCAAAGGTTCATTTCGGCGGAGGAATTCCTTGATGTTGCGAAGGATTACTTCGAAAGAGTAAAGAGAGTTTGGAATTGGCAGAATGAAAATGGGCCTGAGGCAAGGCAGGCATTCCGGGATTGTTCAGTTGTAAAAACACATTCGTCCTATAGGTGAGTTTTACTTGTCATGTTTTTAAAGTTATTCGAATCACATTTCCCTGACTAATGTGATTGGACAATAGCCGAGGAGTGAAAACAAAAAAGAGGTTGGGTCGGGTCGGGGTGGACCCAGACCTCTCTCGTTTTCGCTCCGCTGCTGCTATCGCGCCGTGTATTATTTCGCTTGTTTTACTTACTGACCACCAGAATGAATTAAAGAATGATTTCCTGGCATGTTATCAGGCACCAAGGAACAACTGGGCGAAGATATTTCGATTTACAAGCTCGTTAATTCGACAGCGGCCATGTTTGATTTAGAGTTAGAGGGGATAGTTGGGAGTAGGGAAGGAAAGGCGTAATAATGGCTGTTTCTTTCTATTTTTTTCCAGCGCATTTGTTCAAACTGGGAATGAGTCACATTTTAGGAATCTTCGACTCAATTTTGAGGGACTAGAAAAGTTACAAACATGGCTTGATGAAAACCAGTGGATTACTAAGCTACTAGATCCAAACTTTGTTACAATTCTCCGTGGAGCTCCGTTGCAGAAATTACCGTCAAACGAACTCAGCACTCAGGCGTTTCATGCGTTGAGAAAGATGGTGAGAATCTTCCTCAAAACCGGACGGAGAATCGACTTCGATAGAATTCTAAGAAGACTGGCCGAATCTGCCAAAATATTTTTGCACACGAACTTGGAATACGTGGAAAACTTAGAGAGGACCCTTTCACGCGAGTAAATTGTGATTAGATTCCAGTTTCCCCTCTTTGGAGTTTTAACAAATTGCGACTGCGGGTATATGGAGAATTGATAATCTGAACTTCTCAACACTAAGAAAAAAAATCTGGGTAATACTTCGCTTCTCCTTAGCGATAATATACTCAGCGAAAACGAGTTTGTGAGAAATTTGCGATATGAAATGAGGCTTCTTCACAATTACAGTACGTAAAGAGTATCTCTTCGCTCTTCGTTCCTTTACCGTCAGAAGCTCTTTGAGTTAATTCCCTTCGATAAGTGTGGTATTGCAAGACCATGTTCATCCTTTTCCCTTTCGTTCTATTCCATCCTATTTTCAAATCCTTGACCAATTTTTCTCATCAAATTCCCTTGATTTGACTTGGGGAACTCTGTGATCATGCATTATTTACCTCTACTGAGTAATTCATGGAGAAGCCCGCGAGACCCCTTGCAATGACTTGTCTGTGCGATAAGCCCTGACTATTCCTATTATTTATTGGAATTCGATGTTACTAGATTAAAAATAGTGCTTTGGGATTAAAAAGCGATCGCTGTCAATTCTCTTAACTTTGTGAAACAAAACACGATTTTTTTTCCAAGATCTCTTAGTTTGCTATTTACGTGGACGGAGAGTTATTTTTCCAGTTCTATTATAAAATTCCCTTCTCCGTTAGTCCGAGACAACCTAGTGTGCTCTTTTAGTGAGCTTTCTCGAAGTAATTATGTGTTTAATACACAAAATCAGTGTGAGCACCATTTACTTGCCGTTCCGTTTACAATTAACTGATTAATCCAAAAGTTTGGAATATTCATATCATTCGGGCACCATTTATTAATAGATGTTCTCAGCGTTAAACAGTTTAAAGCTTTTCCGCTCTGCAGCCCTCGAGCAAAAGCCTTCGACATTAACTAAGCAATAGTAAAGTTAAAGAGAGAAAGTTTCTAAAGAAACTGTGGTTCTGCGTCGGTGGCAAAGAATAAAAGGGTTATTGAGAATTATCAACTGAGTTGCTAGCGTAAATTTGCCACAGTAAAGAATTTGAAAGCTGACGTTTCGAGCGTTAGCCCCGCGTCACAGTGAATGGTAATGTTACTTAACCGAAGAGAGAGAATTGGACAAAAGACTTCGTTCTCTCGATCAAAGCTTTTTTTCCAAGCGACCCTAATTTCTAGGGAAAGCCTTCAGCAGACTCCTCACATCCTCTGTCTTTCCACTTAGAAGAGTTGGAGGTTAAAGCGAAGCAAATCATCATTGTTAAAAAATGGTGCATCATATAACAGTTATTTAAGGGTAATAAAGGCCGAAATTGGTGTTCATCTTGGTTTGCTTCTTTGATTCTCATCTTTACCTTTTCTTAAGATAAAAAAAAAACTTTATTTTCAATATTAACCCTTAAACTTGCAGAAAGCCAGAGGAAAATTATGATGAAGAATCAATGCAGCAAGCCTTATTGATCTATCGCACATGATCTGTTCTTGATGCAATGTGTAAGTGATATTCTCCAGGAGAAAAGTCTCTAAATAACTTAACAAAAAAACTTTACATTTAAACGAGGGTGATTCTTAAGACATGAGAGTCAATAAGAGAGAAAACATATCCTTTGTTTGTAGCTAGAGCGTAAATCGCACCTTGATCATATTGCCACTTGAACACAGCGCAGAACACTGACAAGAACGATTGAAAAAAAGTTTGCGTCACGGTTCCTTGTTTAAGTCGGGCGTTTGTTTGAACCCATAGCGACATCGAAATTTTGGTCATACCTTTTCACACGCTTTTTCAAACCTGTGCTCCATGTTGAAACCCATTACGCTATCGACATCCCCTCTAAGACTTCGCTAAAAAGAGGCAAGCGGAGAGCGTGCGCAGAAACTTGGTCAAATATTTCTGGCGTAGCTAGTATACTACTGGCCAGTCAAAATTGATGAGAGGATTCCCAGTGCGTCCTGCTGAGCTATATCCACTATCCAATAACTCTTATGGCATCCTGATGTTTAACTGAATGTCTTGACTTTCTGTCTGGTTTTCTGTTCCTTTGCAGAATTGACTTAAAACTGTTCTGAATTCCATTCGAGCGGCGTACAAAATTGGATTAACTAAAGAGTTAGCTATTGCTAAGGTAGTCAGGACAAACCCAAGTCGAGCCGTAGTATGTACCGATATTTTCAGGTAATCTTTAAAATAAGGTGTGCTTTTGATAAAAAAGAAAAATAACTCCGGCAGCCACGTCAGTAAAGACGCCAACGTCATTATAAGCAAGGTTGTTGTAAGCCTTTGCTCTCGGTTAGATCCTCCATCATGACGCGGGCGTGGACTACATCGGACTTTGGCTAAAATGGAGATATATGAAGCACAAATCACAAGGATGAAGAAGATATCTATGGAAAAATAAATGTAGTAATAGTATGTCAGTAACTTAAGACTCCGTGTGAACAGTTCGTGTAGTACAACTGGAATGGAGGATAACACCACGGAAATAAACCACATCACGAAGATGATCACTCCGTAATGCCAGTTGCTGAGA